GGTTTACTCGCTATTCACTTAATACTAGATTCATGCTACTTGCTAGGTGTTCCCATGGTATGTGGGTTCATGAATTAAAGGGTTAATTCACGAATAAGAGTTAATAAAGATTAACTCAAATTACAAATAGTTGTAAACCCACTACTAGTATTAATTGTGAACCTAAAAGGTCACACAATTTTTGAATGAAGGTAAAATTCAAATAGTTAATCTAAAGAGTTAGAATTAATTGATTAATCTAATTTGATTAGATATCAATTTATGGAATATATTAAATTAATCAATTGAATTGATTAATTGAATTTTGGATATTAATTTAGTAATTAATGGAATTACTAATTAATAGTTGAACTTTAAAATTGGATTTTAAATTTCAAATCCAAATAATAATATGATTATTAAATAAGGAAATTGGAAGAAATGATTAAAATAATAAAGTCTTGAAAAATGTTATCAAGAATTATTATTTTAATGTTTTATTATTTTATCTTTAATATAATTAAAGATTAAAATAATTAAGGATTATAATAAATGGTGGTTAAGAGAGGTTGAGAACCACTCCACATTGTTTATTATATAAAAGTCAATAGTTAGTAAATCATATTTAAATAAAATCTAATTTTATTTAAATAATACTAAATATTGATTATTTTATACTAAAAAGTTTAGTATAAATATGTGTAAAGAGTTTACATAAAATTTGCTAAGTCATTTTTCCAAAGTTCTTCCAAGAGAGAAACACATTCAAAGAGTTGAGTGTAATATCAAGAAAAGTTCTTGAAATATTTCCTTATAAAATATATATATTCTATACTATTGAAAAACCGAGAAGTTTCTACTAGCGAAGAAGCTATCGTCGGAACCCGATTTCGAAAGATGGATACGTTTAGAGGGAAGACACGTGGATTCCTAAAGCGAGTAACCACAAGCACAAGAAGTGAAGTGACGTTACCAATCCGGAAATCGATTTCCTCAATTCATCTACGATTTTGAAGGAGTTCAAGATTAACGGTAAATATTGTATTTACTATCAAACAAATCAAAATTTGTATTATTACATGTTTTTAAAGATGACGATCTGTTAATTCGCTATATGTATGTACGAGATATGTATTTAATTGTTAAATACATGTTTTAAAAAATTTTAAATTCCGCTGCATATAGCTCGTACGGTACAGGCGAACCCAACAAAAAGATGGACATTAGAAGCCAACAATGTATTAAGAGTAACTAGTACTACTCCGTAGTTGGACGTTGTCGCTGTCATCACCCTATTGACATGTGGCTCCTAGGGCTCGTTGCAGATCCACATCCTCACATGTGTAATATGGCCACTCTTCAGTCGATTCGTTGTCAGATTTCGCACATCTTTCGAAAAAGGAATCACCCTGCTGACTTTCTCGCTGGCATCGGGTCCACCATCCCCTAGAGACTCACCTTCATCTTGATGATATTCCTCTTCGCCTCTGCACTCTTGTACGAATGGACCAGTTCGGGTACCCCTCTTTCAGATTTGGGTAGTCGTCTCCACTTTTTGATACACCTGGCCTTCTTTGGTGCTGACTCTTCGCTTGGTATCCTCTCTG